TTAAGAAGTCTTTGGTCCGAGAATGGAAGAATATTCCACAGCATCAGCTGCGCGCTGCAGTACGCGCTTTCCGCCCTCGATTGAAGGCTTGCATTTCCAAACGTGGCGGACATTTAGAGTAGCTATGGTTCCTAACATTGACTGACACTTTGTACTAAATAAATTATCACTTGAAGTTGTCGTTCTTATTGCTTTGGTTGTTTTTGGCAAAGAAACGTTTGTAACAGAACTTCTTACTCACCCTGTAGGGCAAAATGATAATAATGACTTGTATTCACAGAATGTGTTCAATGTGTCCACCATTATGATTGATACACAAATGCAGACGAGGTATCCAGTCAGCAATCACACTTCGAATGGTGTCAGGAGTGATGGTGTTACATGCATCTGATGCACTCCCACATATGTGCAGCACTTATTTTACCCTATGGTTCCAGTCTTATGGGACACCCTGTATAATAATCACCAGTATGCACAGGAGAACCCATAGTGGCATATGTTCCAGTAGTACAATTCAGTCTGTTCTAGGCTGTCCAGTGAAAGGTATGATGTTTAGAGGGGGGTCTGTCCACGGTGTCAGACGTGACATCCAGAGTAATATGTTCAGTATACAAAATGTATTTAACTATATTATGGATGACAAATCATCACATAAAGGCTGCAACAATTTGCTGTGGGTAGTGACTGAAAATTCCAAAATTCAAAGTCTTCCATGCTCTTCTTTGTTAGAGGTGTACCTATGTGCAAAGGAAAGTGTCAGAGATTACATTTTGTGAACCCTCAAGTTAAAGTTACTTGCTCAAATGTTCACATATTTGTCATCGAGCAGACCCTAATAATTTAGTTTCTTGTTCATTCTATATATTGAATGAAAGCCTGGAATTAGTGTAAGTCACCCCAAGAATACATTTGCAACAGAAAGTATGGCTATTTTGTGACAGGAGAGTGTTGGATGTGACTTATTCTGAAAGTGTATTTTGAAACAAGAAGTCTCTACATATCATTTAATTTTATTTTAAAGATATCATTCAAATGTGAACAATTGACATCTACTCTTCTTAACTTAGCTGATTTGAAAAGTATCAGTATGCATGGAAAACCCATGCTGGCATCTGTTCCAGTAGTCCAATTCAGTCTCTCCAGATTTGCATTTTCATCACATTTTTGAGTATCATGAGAGTGGTATGAATAATATATCATAATCATGACTAATTCTTTCATTTTTCAATGTAATATTCTCTTTCATGTCTTCTGGGAAAAGAGATGATGAACTTCTGTAAACTTCTGAAAGTAATATTTGCATATTTAGGAAAATTTCTGGTTAAAATCCTAGGACCACTTGGCGTGGACAGACCCAGGGTTCAATAGGATGTCTTTTAATTTGAGCTTATTTGCTGTCTTTGGAACTCTCAGTCACGTAACTTAAATCCTGATCCAAATCAGTTTCCACATCCGATTCCAAGTTTTCATCATAATTATTACCCATCATTATCACAAAAATTCACAACCCTCGCTATTGGTTACCTGAAACTACATTAAACCAGAGACATGACACAATTTCTCTGTAATTCCTCAACGTTCGACAGCGGTTATGAAACAAGTGACTGGTCTTCTTTTGTTGCCCCTCTCGTGTCTCCCAGACATGGACATGGAGACAATGGACTTAGCAACTAAACAAGAGGAGACTGTGTACTATGCACAAGTTTTTTATTCTTCAGTATAGCTTTAGCAGTTCCTGAGGTATAGTCGCTCAAAGAACACTGCGTACCAGTACGTCCTTGGTGATACGGGCCAGGCGCTGCGCGACGTACCTGTACGTCTTTTCATGCACCCATCTGCATGAAAAGACGTACAGGTACAGGTAGGCAGTTTCAAACTTTACGTCTCTTAACGTGTGACGCGTGCGATAAACCGATGGAAGTAGCAAACTCACACTTCTCATATTTTGCATGTTGTGCGTTTCATTGTCTCTCCATTGGTGCCGATAGAACGCCAGTGCGTCTTATATTCTGTGGATTAGGCGGCATTTCGACGCACCAGGCGAACTTCCTCTCCTGAAACTTCACCTTCTTATATGGATGCGTGCAGACGTTCCGAATTGGGCGCATAACTATTCCGCGCGCAAGTCTTGCCATTTGTGAAAGTCCTAGTATAACAAACCAACGCCAAAACCATCGATGATTTGGACCCTTTGGAGTCTGGACGATACTGACTCAAGAGTAGAGGGTGAGCACTCCCCCTAAATAAATTCGTATCCAGACAGTAGTGGAAGGGAAGGCAATAAGACTGAATACAAATTCCCTAATCTAACCCCAGCTTGGAAAGAACGGCTTTATTCAGGTTGACCTCTCTTCCCTGACTCTGACAGACTTGCCAAAGCAAGTTTTCAGTTTAGAATGCGTAAAAGTGCATCGCTAAGAAATAGATTAATACTGTCTCCGAGATGACTCATCGAATGGAGTGGGACAGCAAGCGATGGCCATTCACCTGTAAACCAGCAACAACCTATAAAGTGTTTGAATTCCTTATACGTGGGTTTCTGCTTCAATTTCCCCACTGACTTAGCTGTTTGGCTCTCTCCTATTTTCCCATCGACGAGACTGGATGGTACTCAACGAGAAGGAAACATGACTGTAGTTGCTGCGATTTCTGCCACACATGGACTTATTCATTCAAAGATACTGCATGAAGATCTCCCTTTAGATATCCTTAGAAACTTCCTAGATGAAGTGAGTGCCGTAATTGGACTAGGAAAACGAAGCTTTCGTGGAAAACCGACTCACCGGAGAGTGCTTCACTTATATCCATCCCATTGAATTAATTTTCTCGCTATTTAAATCAAAGGTTAAGAGATAGGTCAGTTTTTCTAATAGCTCCCACTGCTGATGGGCCATCGTGCTTCTGCTCGAGACGGGTCTCTTGCACAATATCGCGGGAACATTCATGAACAATTTGTGCATGACACAATAGAGAGTTTGCACTGCCGATTTTTGTTGCGAAGCGTACTCACGTTTACATGTACTGGTTATTGAATGCAGAAGTCACAATGGAATGAAGTTGTTCTTGCCATGCGAAGGAATGAAAAGGGACATTGCCTTCACTGTCTGGTTTCATCGTGTTCATCCCCCCCCCCCCCCCCCCCCCCCCCCCCCCCNCCCCCCCCCCCCCTCCCCCCCCCCCCCCCCCCCCCCCCCGCCCTGTCTAGACAAGAATTGCTCGAGGGGGAATGCTCACCCATTGCTCATCACATCCGTGAGGGAGGTTATCGCTTTCTAGCACATGGGCTCAGAATCATGTTGGTTTGGAATATATGAGAGGGCATGCGTGTGCACGCGAGCAACTGCCTACCTGCTCAAGCATCCACGCATAGCAAGCATAATAAGAAACGGCCTTCTCGGTTCCTTTCCGAGAAGTCGGGTTTTTCATATATCCTCGCTCTCCGAAGAGAAAAACGCTCCGGGGGTGTTCTTGTCCCCCGCAGTCATTCTTGACTAGTTTGCGAGCTGACGTGCACATGTGCTTAACCGCCTGACAGTGCATTTCAGCCACCACTAACTTTAAAATCAGTGCGCTTCTCTTGGGAGTTGTACAGCATATCAGTTGCCGTCGCTCGAGGATTTTCCGATTTGCTTTAGGATTTTTAAACTGAGCGACAATGGATATTCCGGAATTGTTCTAGCCACGCTAGAACCAAGCTGTAGTATATGCACATCCAGCTGTACCTACTAACAGTTTTTCCCTCGTTATTCTTCCCAGCGATGCTCAAGTGGACCGTGGGCGTCATAGGCATTACCATGTGAATTTTTTATTTTAAAAGATATCGCGAGGCAAAAGCAACGCGCTAGGAATGTCCCACACCAAGATTTTCCGGTTAATTTCTTACCTCAGTGTTAGAGTGTTCCCCACTATCTCAGCACTTTGACAAGATGAAGAGGAGCTCCAGACTATTTGTGGTTTTCGAGATGTGTCATGTTGTGTGGAGTGGTGGGGTGTCACAATTTTTCATTACCAAAACCACACCTCTCAAATTAAATAATTTTTGGACAATCTTTAGTTTTCTTGAATTTCCAGTCCGTTTTTGAAGTGGATATGAATGCAGAGTTGTTAGATTCACATCCTCTGGCACTTTCATGCAATTGCAAAGTTTCCAAATGTGGACAGTTCCTTTAATGCAGTTGTTGTGGATGTGACCATGACAGGTTGTCTGTTGAGACCAAAATGTCTAGGAAGAGGGGGCATCCTCCTGCTGCTCTCTTTCCTCCAAGCAATTCTGAGTCCTTATTGGTAACAGTGATGACAGTAATTGGTGGAAAATCGTATCTTCACACTGGATACAATATCTCATGGATTTGCTGTCCCAGAGCATAAAGATATGTAGTGCATTTTACTGAACAGATTTTGTAATTGGGCAACTGCAGCCACCCCGAGTCTCCTCTACTTTGAGACTGACTTTCTCTGAGCATGAGATAGCCATTACTATTTCAATTACATTTTTGTACTCATGATCGTGGACTCTCCAGTGATATGCAACTTGAATGGGATATGATTTTGCCAGAATTCACACTTCATCTTTTCCCAAAAATAGGCATTTCCATTGCTGTTGTCTCGTAAATTTTGTGTAAAAAAAAAAAAGAAGATAATTTTAGAAACAACTGTATTTCTTCTTGGTCAATGCCTTACAGATGCCTTCTCTCTGAGTATGGAAAAGTCACAGTCCAATTTGGTGAATAATTTCCATAGACATTTGCAGTCTGTTGGACATGGATCAAGAGTCTTCAAGAGACTTGAGGTGCTAGATCTGAAGGAAAGATTCACTCATTAAGCCTTGCTTGTCAATAGTCAAATTTCTCTCATCAAAGGGCAGTGTCAACCTAGCCAACTTTTTGAACTACATAATTTTTAGCTTCTTGTTAGGTTGAGAAATATTTTATCATGATTAATTGTTACTTTTATTTTTGGAAGTGCCATATTAATTGGTGGTGTATGATCTTCCCTTGCAGTTGTAGCATGAATGGCTCATCAGCCATGCTGAGCTCAAGTCTGAAGGATCTTTCCCTTCAAGGGAATGTGAGTTTGTCTAAGACACCTACTCGTAAGACCCCATCTGGAAAGGCCAAGACTCCTTCAGGGAAGACACCATCTGGAACTGGTAGGCCTACCTCCCTTTTTTTTTTCCTTGAGGTATGAAGCAAGTAGCATAAAAAGATTGGACTTCATTGTTTTATCTTTGTACATCTATGTTGCATGTACTTCCTCATGGGCTGTGTGTGTATGTGGGGGGGGGGGTGCATGTATGCATGTTGAAAAGTGTTTGAAAAGTAATGCCTATTTGGTATAAATTGTTTATTTCAAATCTTACAAAAATAAAGTTTGACAAATTGATTTGAAGTGACAGAGGAACAATTGCCTGCTTTTTATTTAATCTCCATTTGCAGCTACTCATTTGTGCCACCGCTCGACTCAACATTAAAATCCTCTTTAGTAGTAGTATTCAGCATCTTCAAACCACTCATTTGCAGCAGCTGTCATTCATCCCTATTATCAAATCATCATCCATGCCCCAAATGATTTTCACTTCTTTGAGCCAATGAAGGATGGTTTGCTTGGAAGACAATTTCATAGTGATGATGAAATTAAGACATGGTTGAAGGAGTGGTCAAGGAGTGGTTGAAGAAAGCAAGAATGGATTTTTACAAAAAGGATTTTAACATTGGGTTGAGAGGTTTTGCAAATATGTAGCTGCAAATGGAGATTTAGCATAAAAGTAGGCTATTGTTCCTCCATATCACCTCCATCAATGTGTCAAATTTTATTTTCGTAAGATTTTAAATAAACAAGTTACACCCAAATAGGAATTACTTTCAAACACCCCTCATCCTCTAAAAGTTGTACCCTTGCTACCCACTCTAGCACATTCACACAGAGGTTGGCATTGCTATTTGGCATGGTGATCCATTGAATTCACAGGAAAGATGTCTGCTAAGAAGAGTCCAAAGACTCCAAAGGAGGAACACGGTGACCGCTTCATACCCTGCCGCAGCCAGATGCAGTTTGAAGTTGGATATCACAAGGTGAGAGCTCACCTGCCTCTCTCCTTTACTCCTTGTGCATGCTCCTGCTCCTTCACACTGGATCCCCTGATTTCCCCCTCAATAGGGGTCATCTAGGGAGGAGGAGGATGAGCTAGCTATCTAAGATGCTAAGAACTCCATGAGGTCTGAATCTCAATTCATAACTTTATGCTACTCAATTTTTGTTTCTTGAGCTAATCAAATTCCAGAGGGGTTGTAGTTAGCAAATCACTCTTATTCTTTCTCAACTATGCAGCCTGTTTTTTTTTTTTGTTCATCTGAATTTTCTTTGATTTTATTATTTTTATGTGCATAATTTGGATTTTTCATAATTCAACTCTTATGTTTTTCTGTCATTGTTCCCAGAGACACTTTATAAAATGAAAAATGATCAAATTCTTAATAGAGTGCCATGGATATGTTCTCTTTAACCCATTCAAGAACAAATCATACCCTGTCCTAAGGACATGCCATTGGCTTTTCATTTCCTTCAATGGCTGAAGTGTTTCCTTTGAAGGTGGATCTCATTTAAGATAGTTTAATATTTCCTCCATGCAAAACTGTTAGCTTGAGCTGCATGAAATTTAGAGATTCTAACACAACCTTTCGACAGCATTATTTCACATATTTAAACTTTGATCATAGGTTAAGAAGACTCGGAGCATTTTAATGACAAGTGTAACCTTTTGGGAAGCCTAGCCTCCTTGTCCTTAAATCCTTTGATTGGAACTCTGGAAGATATAAATAGTGAAATCAACTCCAGGGATGCTAAAAGTGAATGGATCTCATTAAAAATAGCATTTGAACAGGTTTAACATAATTAATATTTCTTACGGCCTACATATTCATGTTATTGCTAACATTGCTGAAAGATTGAATAATGAAATCATGTTTTTGTATTACACTCTATGCTGGCTTTGTAGTCTTGCAAGAAGATGGACTTAGCATTCTGGGAAGCCTGCTGGTGATAGAAAATTGATCAAGAGCTTCAATCCAATAATTACATTTAGAGTAGTTGGGGTTGGTGTTGGTGCACTGGAGCTGGGATTCTGAGTAATATGGACTAGGTTTGAACAATTTTGAAATTAGTGCCAAGCATTTTATGGCTTGTGCCATGCAATGTATATTTTTTAAATCAGGTATTTAGTGCAAATGAAGAAAGACAGACAGAAACCTGAAAAACTACAAATGGCACAGCCATATGTGTTGATCCTGTTGGCCTTGCACACATGCCACATTGTAAGTAGAGGAGACATGGTATTTTTCACGCATGGTTTGGTTTGAGAAAGTCAGTGAGAAGTCAATAGACATGCATCCCAAAATGCAATATTGTTATTCAAGTGGAACCAGTCTTACAGATTTTGTAGGTATAATCTATTCTTGGTTTGAATCAGCTCTAGTTGGAACAGAAGCAGCAACCTGTAATTAGGCACTTTCAGACTAAAACACAAATTCCATAGACCATAAATTCCATAAAGTCCAAAGACCCTCCCAAACTCACTCTGCAACCCTCTATGAGGTATCTGTACTGATGCATCCAATATTCTGTATTCTGCTTTTTGAGGAATTAGACCTTTCCTTTCCTTACCATATACAGTCCATATACAGTATGAGTCAAAAGTATTACAATGCTGGAACAATTCATTTTATTCTCCTCCAAAGTGTGTGATGAAAATATTTAATTTACCAATGTAATCTTCCTTCATGTTGGTAACTAACTGCATTCACTGAATCATACTGCTTACTATGTTTTTGAGAATGCCTGGATCCAAGTTTGCCTGCATATTTTTTACTCTCTGGATGAGATGTTTCATATTCTTGACCTCCTGCTCTAAAATTTGCCAGAGATTTTCAATGGGATTCAAGTCAGGGCTGTTGCCTGGCCACTGACCCTTCCTTCTGAATGCTGGCAGGTTCTTCTAACACCAGGCAGTGGTGGCTTTGGAAGTACAATCTGACTCATCCAAAGAGAAAATAAGAAGGAATATCTACTTAACACTTTCGCTGCCTAGTCATTTTTTGGAGGTCGTTTTCCTGAGGTCAAAGTAATCCTCATAATTCTGGTGTGCATGACACAAGCGATTCTGCCAAAGGTGGGGATCCACTGGTGATGATGAATACAGTGGATGGCAATCGACAAGCCGCAATGAAGAAACTTTGAGCTTTTCCGCAATGACTGCTGGAAATCAAATGGTATATTGCAGTACCTATGCAGTATCTTTGAATTTCTAACCAATCTTGGAGTGCCATTGCTCCCACATTCTTCGTATTCTTTGGACCTCAAACTTTGCCACTTCACGCAGATTTAAAAAATGAGGTGCCTTCTTTAAATGGCCACTGTTTTGAAGACACAGACACTTGCCAGTCACCTGCAACCAATGTGTTAGACAAATTTGCCAAGAATGGGTTACAGTTCTAAGCTCTTTACAAATGAAAGGAAATGTGTGTTGCAAGTCAGGTTGAACTAGAGGGTTGGCTAAAAAAAAAATTAAGTAACTTAAAAATTTTATTTTAAAAATAAATTCTTCAGCAAATTGACTTGAAAATGTAAGGATACCTTGTTGACAAGTTTCTTCAAGAGCTGTTGAAGTGTATGTGCCCTTGCCCAAATTTTCCAAGTGAACAGGCATGTGTCTGCCAATGGTGAGGCATTAGTCCATGTTTGGTTTTTGCCTAATAGATCAATTCCTCTAGACAGATCCTTGTGAAAAATTAATAGAACATTGTAAAAAATGTGTACTCAACCATAAAAGTTCATGCATCTGCATGCACTTTCAGGCATCCTCATCCAATTTGGATTCATGCCTCGCAACGACAGTTGCATGCTTGCTCTCTCGGGGTTCCCGTTCCCAGAGACTTGCTATAGTGAGTCCCTGACTCAATAAAAGAACCTCCCTGAGTATAAACGTTTTGTAGATTCAGACACCCTGAGTAACTGTTGGTGGACTTGTACAAGGGTAACTCCTGAAGCTAGGCACCAGGACTCAAGATTTAAAAAAGCTAGTGTGAACCCTGTCACTTATTTCTTTATCATTCCAACAAAATTGCTATAACTCATGAATGGGTATCCATGAATTCATATAATTTCAAAAGCTCTAGGAAAGCATAGTAGGCAGCATTTTATTAAATTTTCCTAAATACACGGAAATGAGGAATAAGTAATTTCCATTTCACCCTTATATATAGACATACTTATATTGAGTGCATAAAAAAATGAATCAAGAAACACTGCCAACTTTATTTTAAATTGACCTCATCAGGAGGTGATGATAAAGTTTATACAATGAATGGAAGAGGCCAATAGATTGTATCATGCAAAGCAATGCAAACCCCGTTGGCGGGTCATATTCAGTAGGAGAAATCTGTACAACTCGCTGGTGGATCGTATGACCCAGGAGAAGAGAGACTGTATCACCCGCTGGCAAGTCATATGGCCCAGGAGAAGGGAGCCTTATGACCTGCTGGCATGTTGTATGGCAGCTAAAGTGTTTAATTTATGAGCAAGAAACTTTTTTTTAAATAATTAAATAACAAGAGGTGTTTCTCATTTATTTCTTCATTTCACATAAATGATACAACAATGATGTGATTGAAATGAGGAAGAAAGGGAAGGGAAGTAATGGAGGGGAAATGATAGTCAGGGCCTTCAATTGATTAAACTGAATGATTGAAGCAATGATGATATTATCAGGTGTGAATAGTGAATTATCATGAGATATAAGAAGTACTATGACTTTGAAGGGAAAAACCAGAGAATGACCTTGTAAAAGGTATGTGGACCCAATGTTACAGTTTCAGAGAAAGATTGTATTCCACAAGGTTTCTAGTTTAAACTAAAATGTCATGGTGAGTCTTCCATGACTCTCTTTTACCAAGATAGTGTGATCCATACCCTGGAAATATAAATTCTATGTTCTCCTGACATGGTTTTACCATTGACATAGCATAAATTTGAAAGGGAAGGAAAACACATATAATTTTTACCCATCTATTGATTGTTTTCTATGCAGTTACAAGGAGAAGTAGACATGGAGGAAGAGGCATTGAGTAGTCCAGGAAAGAAGGAATTCCGGCGTGCTATGAGAGAGGGCTTGACTGGAGGGAGTTTGGAGAATGTACGAATCATGGCATATTGCAGCAAGCCCCCAGCAGCACCTGAGGGCCATGTCAATGGATCAAAAGTCCTTTATAGTCAGAGCAATGTACTTTCTGCTCGCAAACCACCTCGGCACATCCCCAGGCAGTCTGAACGCATTCTTGATGCTCCCAGCATTAAGGATGACTATTGTGAGTCCATCTGTAAAACCCATTAGAAGTCCAAGTGTCTCTCTCTGTAAATGCAGTCCATGCTCATGCCTTTCCATTTGTACCTGGAGTTGACTGTGTTGCTAATACCATGATACCATCATGGGATTCTTTGTGGAAGTGAAGACCAGAGTGTTACTATATTCCTGGAAATGTTATTTTCTTGCACTGGGCAAGTTATTGGCTTGCACCATCCATATACTCAAAAAGGGATTTGTATTTTTCTAAGGAGTTTTGCCACCATAGTGAATGTAGCCTTTGCAAGTTTGATGGGATTGTTTGTCAAAGCTGCAGTAGTTACTGCATGTGATATGAGTTGTCTGGAATTATTTTTCTTTGACTAGCTTTTGAGATCAAAAACTACAGAAGGGATGACCCAAGTAGATTTCATGAAAAAACTTGATTGATATGGTTTCTAATGTGCCAGTTTACTTGCATAGGGAACCTAGATATTCTCTCAAAGCAAGCTGAAATGTTGAGGATGGTTTTCTTTATTGAAAATTTTACCTGTAGGTTTAGAATCACTAAGCTCTATAAAAGACTCACTTTCATGGGTCATTGAATGCTATCTTAGACCCCAACTGTGTAGGGGAGTGGCACCAGTTCGCGAACAGGGAGCCAGTTAGCGAACGAGGGTTATGAAATGCGATTTGGTCTTTTGTTACTCTAGTTTCACTCTCCATCCCAAGCATTAATTAATCAATCAATCCATTTTCTGCAGATACCAAAAGCNTCAGGATGTTGCCATATATATCCTCCCTCTTTGATAAGAATGTAAATGAATTTCTCTCACCATTGCTTGGGTTTGGGCTTGGACTGTTAGGAATTTAAATTTGCCAGCAGATTTCATGTTTGCTTTCACATGTTGGCACAGATCAATCCCATATGTAACAGTGAATTCTGGCTTGTGAATGAAGTCACTCCCATTTCCTTTAGGTACCGTACAATTTAAGAATAAGACCACTTTTGTTTGAAAGATTGCTTCTATAAAGCCTTTCACTTGATCATCAATTTTTAAATGTTGCACAGTTCTAACCTTGCCTGACTCATCTTACCCAGTAATGTATTCAGCTTGCCTTTATGATCATGAAAGAATTAGAGAGCCATAGACAAATCCCAGACATTGATAAGAGAAGGCTGACTCAAAGTAAATTTGTAAATTAATCATGATTGGTAATTGATAATTTTTTTAGCATCAATGATAGATCATTCCCACAATCCTGGGTAACAAAAAATCAGCAGGACTGCCTGGATGGAGAAATATGAATCATAAGTGATGTTGAAACACAATAGAAGATATAAAGTCAGATTCAATGTGGCCAGGCCCACATTTAAGCATACATCTTAGATATTCTGAATCTTGAGCAAACTTCCTGCTAATTTCTACCCTTGTATTAGGACAAGCCTGAAGTCTCAATTTATGCTCTTTACTTCAGCATTCTGTTGTAGAAAGCACTCTTAAGGACCAATATTTCCCTTGGTGGCAATAACCAAGGATTGAGAGAGTGTTATTTTGGTTTTGTAGACCTGAACATTTTGGATTGGAGTATTAATAACCACTTGGCCATAGCCCTTGGAAAGAGCATCTACATATGGAATGCAAGTACTGGGGAGATCCATGAGCTCTTCTCATTGGACTCACAGACTGAATATGTGTCCTCTCTGGCTTGGATTGGGGAAGGAACATTCTTGGCTGTTGGTCTTAGCACTGGAGATATCCAGGTAGGTCTTCTCTTTCTTATTTTTCCAGTTGCTGCTTTGGAGTTCCAGCTACAATGGGGTCAATGTATGCACCATAATGAGGCATGAATGCTTTTTGGTACTATAGCTGTGGGAAGTTGGTGTGTTGAAGAGAGTGAGGATAATGGGAGGTCATACAGGGCGAGTGGGAAGTTTGGCATGGAACCAACACATCCTGAGCAGTGGGAGCCGTTCTGGGAACATCCATCATTCTGATGTCCGCATAGCTCAGCATCATGTCGCCACTCTTTCATCTCATACACAAGAGGTAACACCTACCAAAGTTATGCCTAATTAATGTTGGTGAGTATCTTGATATTTCAAAGAGAAGAACATCACTTTTCTTTACTATTTGAATCAATATTTTTCAGAATTGTTAATGTTTACTACTTCTGGGCTCCAACTTATCCCTTGAGTCTTCCTTAATTATTTATTCATGATTGGCAGTAAAGAGGGAGATGACCTATGAAATCATGATGGCCTTGTAGAAAGGTCCGATCTAAAAGGAAGAGAAATTAAAACTTGTACTGGTATTCATATAGATAATAGTGGCGAACAATTTTTTACTGCAGATTTGAAACCTTTCTTGCAAAACTACCAACTCTTGTTGCCCTTTAGATATTCATATACCAATAATTAGATGTTTCCAACATTCAAAGCTGCTTGCATTTAAATTTTAAAAATCAATTTGAGGCAATAATCAGTATCAATAGATGATTAAATATTTAAATGTGCACTTGCTGAACTCCCCCAAAATTCAGGGAATTCAAATACATACATGCATAGGTTTTCAAAACTGCTTATCCCAACTAAATACTCGAGCAGGCCCAGGAGCATCTTCCAGTGTTTGCAATCCTGGGCAATGTACTCAAGCTTGGCAGGTGTTATACCAAGCCTTTCGTGGCAAAAATTTGCTCTGTGGTCCATCCGTCCTTGAATAGGGCCTACCGACTTGTCTTTTGCCTGTCATTTTAGATTCCCTCTGTTCGTTCTAAGCTAGTTTCCTGAGGGTATGTCTGAGTACTTCAGGCTTGAAGAAAAACGTATGATGATATGTGCAGATGAATACCCTAAATATGCAGCTTCGGCTTCTTCAAGGAAATGGAGGTACCAAGGAATACCCTCGTAATTGCCCCATGGTTTAACCCTTTTAATGCTGTGTGACCAAATTTTTAGCCACATCTACTACTTCCAAAAATGCTGTAGGGCGATTTTTATGTCATCTAACAGTAAGAACTCAAACTTTGTGAAGGGAAAAACCTATAATAAAAAAAGCCATGATCAAAAAATCTACCTTTGGCATTTTTAGCAGGAGGACATGTGTTCAAAAACTTAATCCATGGCACTAAAAGCGTTAAATATGTTTAGGCTGTAGAAAATATAATGAAGACTAATGGTTGGTCATATACAGACTGATTTATAAGAATCTATGAAAGCAAGGATGAGATGTGAATAATCCAGGGGGAAATTTGAATTGTAGAAGTGAAAATAGCATTTAAAAGAAAATACTGTTAACCCCTTATACATTTTCAGAAAATCTCCAGTATGGCAACAATTGGTTCCCCTTGTTGGATTATGAAAAAAAATCAGTTCTTACCTTTAGCTCTGTGTTGATAAAAAAGTAATCAATTGCGCAAGTGATATTCCTGCATCTTACATTGATGAAGTGCTCTTCTCTTCTGATGCAGTCTTTAGCTCATCCTTTTGAGTTTCATTGTTTTGGCTTAGCTCTTTGCTACTATCTTATTTCCCATCATGAGCAACCCTCTGCTTTCCATGAGGAATTCTTCTTTTTTTTTTTTTTACAGGAATCTCAGACATTTTAAATTGCAATATCAGAAGAATAACAAAGAATTGACATTTGGTACAGGTTTGTGGGCTGAAGTGGTCAGTGGATGGGAGATATCTTGCAAGTGGTGGGAATGACAACATCATTAACGTATGGCCATCCATTCCAGGCAGAATTTACACCCAGAATCAGCCACTTCATACCTTCACGTAAGTCATGCAACAGATTAGAATCATCCTTCATATGTCTCATTCCAATAATGCATAGGAGTTGAGGTGTTCTATTTCAGAGATCAATCTGCCAACCAATACATACACATCTAACCCCAATCCTTACCTGCAAATTTTAATACAGAGTGTGATCCAAAATTTCCGAACGCATTTTCAAAATTAATTTTTTCACATTTACTTGATTAAATGCATGTGGTATAGTATAATACATACAATGGAAATGAAGATCTGCATTTTGTTTACACGACAAGAAAAACCAACACATTTATTTCAATTAAACACAACGTGGTTTTTTGTGGAAGTGATTTTCCTATCTCACTTTTCCAGATGGGAAAAAAGGAGCTCATGAAAGAGCAGCATGGCACCATTTTTTACTGCCATGAATGTGGTGACTCATATATCAGAAAATCGCAAAAACAGTCGGATGTGGTCTTGCAACCATCTGTGATACGTTGAAACAATATGTCAAGACCAGATCCTCCAACTCCAGGCATGTTCAGGACAACCATGCTGAATCAACACACACCAGCAGTGTTACTATTTCTTGCTGGTGTTTTCAAAACAGCATTGACCGTTCAGGTTGGCGCTGTTTTGAAAACTGCCATTGTGACAGCTCAAGTATTTATACTATTTCACTAGAGGATAGTTGACCCTATCCATGTCAAAGTAGACAAAAAGGAAAAAATACCCAACTTGTGTTGCACCACTGCTAAGAAAAAAATCACCAGGACATCCCTGGAATGTGAACAGAGAGCAGTTCACAATTTGTGGATGAAAGAAAAATATTTGAGTTACATGTGATGATATATTTTCTTACAGAGAACATCAAGCAGCAGTGAAAGGCCTTGCTTGGTGTCCTTGGCAGCCACATGTACTTGCCAGTGGTGGAGGAACCAATGATCGATGCATTCGATTCTGGAATGTCAACATGGGGACATGTCTCAATTCTGTGGATACCAAATCTCAAGTATATTCTTTCACATCTCTCACCCATCATTCTTTCTCCAAAACCTTTTGCACTATCCCACTTCCTCTTCCTCATTCTCCACTCAAGGAAAAGTAGAGATGATATATTTTAATCATTTGTCTAATTAGGTCTACATTCTAAAGAAGCCACTGGCATCTAATTGTTGGCATTTCATCTTTATTCCTGAGTTAGAGCTAGAGCAACCACCAACCTTCTGTCTGACTGAGGATCTTATGTTTTTTTTTTATCTTTCCCCAATACATTTTTTGGAATTTGTGAGAAGATCTATAGGTTCATGTGTATTGGGCTTTAGAAGCTTGCAAACTTTCACTTCAAGACTAATGATGCACTAACCACAAATGTGAGAGAAAGAAAATCAGGCATAACCATTGTGGATTTTTTTTCATGTAGGTCTGTGCTCTGCTCTGGTCTGCTGAGTATAAAGAGATTATCTCAAGTCATGGATATGCCAACAATCAGCTCATCATTTGGAAATATCCTTCCATGGATAAAGTATGTCCCCTTCCACTTATAATTTGACTTGACTTGCAGTTTGTTCTTTCATGCTACATGCAACTTTTTAGACCTTTTTGCAATGTGCTGGGGTTGTGCTCTACAGCAATAAAACTTCATCAAGTTGGCTAGTTGCAGTAAATAATTATTTGAAAGGACATTGAGACATTAAGGGAAGAAATGAATGAAAATAGTAGCAGTGGGTTACATGGAATAACTTGATAGAAAATAGGAGAGAAGAAAATAGGTTGGGGATATAGGAAATAGAAAGGAAATGTAAAAAAAAACTTGATGAGGGAAAGGATCAGATGAGGGTACCAAAATTTGACTTTGGGATATTATTAGGATTTTTGCCAAGGAAAAGATCAACAGGATTTATTGGGTATACAAAGAGACATGCAGTTTAGGCATTTTTAATCAACCACATGAAATTTATTTCATGTTTCAGTCCTAGTTTCAGTGTGTGAACCTCCTTCATAGCTTACTGACAATTTTGTCAGTAAAACTACTCCAAAGAGCTTGACCCCTTCTGTTTAGCATGTGACTATTCCTTGGCAAGACTGTCATGTATTAGGCATAAATGAATGAGGTATATTAAGACCTGGAACACCATTCTAGGTATTGGTAAGACAACTTCAGGGTGTCACATTCAACATATGCATGTCGTTTCATGAAAATTACTATGAACTTGGTTGTTCAGAACAAGGGCTACTTTCCCCAGCAAAGTGAATTGAGGGTGTCTGCAACAGAAGCACAACTGACCTCAAGAAGTGCTTGATGGGTCCTCCTTTCTAGTCCATAACTGCTCACAAGTGCTGTTTCCATTGGGTAATTGACTTCCTAATTAATTCACTAATACCTAGTTTTGTGTTCCATCTGTGGCCATTCCAAACTTTAAGTTTGGAACCTTTTTTGGGCCTCCTACTATATAAAAATTCAGATCAAGGTGACTTGTGGAATTTCTTGCTTTGTTCATTCAAAGCTATGGGGGGAAAATAATTAGAAGAATCTGTAAAATATCTTGACATGATCAAAATCCATACCAACACATAGAGAATCCATTTCTATCGTCACGTAAGTGTCTTCTGACTTCTGAGGTCTCATGGCAACCCTTCCATTATTCAGTATTAGATCACACCTTGCATTTTGCCCTTAGTTCAGTACTCTGTACATGTGTTCCAACTGCTCACCACCAAAGAAACATGTTACTGTCACATCTTCAGAAGACTCTCATGTATCATGAATATCAAGCTGGATGACAAGTCTAAATTGTCATCAATGTTAATGCTCCTGTCGAAGCACTCTGGACCTATCTCATGTGGTCCAGGATATGCATCTTTATCCTTTTCCATACCTATGAGACATTTTACCATTTTATTACATTACTTTGATGTGCCTAAATCCTTTGTTCATTGTGCATTCGACTCTGTTTCTAGTTGACAGGTACCCTATCTTCTGCGCATCGGAAGCCTGAGCGTGTCTCTTGTACTTGAGAAGTGAGAATGGGATCCAATTCCTAGCCATTCATGTGACATATACATTACATTCCAGTTTTTTGTTATTCACCCTCCCTCCAGCAGTATCTCTCATTGAGTCACATAGTCAGCCCTTGCAGCATCTATAGATCGTATTTCTTTTTTTTTTTACTTCATCTCTTCATGATGAAGGTACTTCTTAACAATTTCTGTGATTTCCTCTTTGAACCCAGGTTGCAGAGCTGACAGGTCACACTCAGAGAGTCTTACACCTGGCCCTTTCTCCCGACGGCACCACCGTGGCTTCGGCTGCAGCCGACGAGACCCTGCGATTGTGGAAGTGCTTTGCCGTGGATCCCAGCAAGAAGAAGAAGGACGCCAAGCCTAAGGCATCCCCGACACAGATGAAATTTCTCGGCATTCGTTGATCGTTGACTCGTACTCTATTATGTCTGTGTTTTGTAAAAAGAATATATATATGACTCTGATACAACATTTAGATCGACATGCAGAGTTTTGTTTTTGACGGGCTTGTGACAAAGTGATTGCCAGCACTTGGAAAGCCAAGATGGGAGGCAAACTTCAGGATGGAGAAGGGCAGTTGTTGGAATGTATTTTTTTGCTTGTAACACAGGAATACCACTTGGTGCCTGCATGGTTGCAGGAATTACTCTTTTTTAACTCCACGTTCCAGGCACCTCGGCTAGAATGTATACAGTATGACACGAGACATTCCTGCTAGAGCTCTGGGGAGGCTGACGCTTGGTGACCCGCAACCGATAGTACCCCGACTTCTACGTCTGGTGTATGTGTCTGCCGCATGCCTTGTGAATAAGAAAAGACTCCATCAGTCCATTTCTTATCGAGTGTGTGTAGTATCAAGGATTCCTTTACCTCAACACTTGTTGGACATTTAAGCCAACAATCCACCAGACCGATGCGCAGTACTCGTAGTCGGGGCCGGCCCTAACTACTTCGGCGCCTGTGCAGAGACTTTCAACGCTCCCCACCCCCAAAAGGGGAGAAGGGTTAACCCCTAGCGTCCAAAAAGACGCCGAAGCGGAAGGCATTTCCACTATCTCAAGTAAAACAGGGTGACGTCCATTATTGCTTCATCCATTCTGGCGTGTTTAGGCGCCTCGGGTGAATTTGCGCCCTGCACACGTGGCACTAGCCTAAGGCCGGCCCTGCTCGCAGTAGCGGATTTTCCCATCGACAATTTTCTCGTCTAGTCTTGCTTGCTTTACACCCATTAGCCCCAGGATAAAAAATTTGTCGGAGTTCTAAGTTACGCTTCTTTTCCGTCTCCTTTTTTTCTTTGTATCGTTTCTTCCTCTTCCTTTGTTTTTTGCCCTACCTTGTCTCTCCCCTCTGGTTACTAGGGCCGAACTGGGTTCGTTCGGAGATCGAGTTCGGGCGTTTCGTCGCCTCCCCGTCTCTTCTCGCAGAGATCCCTGGGGCTACTTTACGGAGACGTGCTCGTGGAGACCGGAAGAACGAATGTCGAAGGTGTCGCGTCGCCGGTGTCGTTCGAGAACGAAAAGGGTTTTCCAAAACGGGGAGGGGAACGTTTCTCGGCGGGCGCATCAGGGCTTCCGTTCCTCGAGGATCGGTGTTTCGTCGCGGTCCGCTTCCGGTCGGGTTGCGGTCGTCGTTCGAAACCGTTTGAAACCGACCGACCCGAAACGGATTTTGAAATGTTGGTTCCGCGACGTTCGACGAGGAGTCCCAGCCCTAATTGCGGTCGCGTTCATTCGCAACCCTCTCGGTGGTTAAGGGTTGTGAATGTTGCGAACCGTGAGGGTCGAAAAAGCTAATCCCCGAAACGCAGGCGATTCCCCATCTAGTGTGCCCAAAGGGTGTGCCCTTCCTCTTTACCTGCGAACGCCGCATCAAGAAACACAATAATAAACAAAAGTATTTTTTTTTTATATGGTTAGCGTGGAAGAAAATGCTTGGCTTTGATTATTTATAAATGTAACGACGATTTCCATCAGTTCTGGCTCCCTGTCAGCTTCCCGGTATAAGGCCCTAATCGCCAGTTGCGGTGGTGCTTCGCGTCGTAGTTGTTGGTTTGGTGGGGGGGGGGAGGGGCGGGAGCGTCATTGGTGCTCCTTGCTCTGGGCGCCAATATGCGCAACTGCTAAAACGGCAACTGCTAAAACTTGGAGTACAGATACAGTACATCTGAGAGGAATTCCCGATAGAGCGAAGGAAAGCGAGAAGAAGAATTCGATCGGTGTCGGTCGTCGGATGGACCGAAGCCATCGGTGCAGTCATCCGACGCCGTTTCGGCCGTGCCCTAAACATCAAAAAGAGCTATTCGAAAAACGAAATTCCGCACCGAAAAGTTCCGCACGCGGAAGCGAGCGCGGACTCGAACGAGAACGCGTTGCCTCGCCGGCTTCCGCGAGGACGCAGAGCGCTCTCGTTCTCGAGAGAAGCTCCGACGAGATCGCATCGTTCCGTCCATCTCGTCGTTTCGATCGTTTTACGGTCGAGACGCGATCGGCAGCGGGAAACGAGACGAACGCCGACGAGGTATCTCGTTTGGGCGAGGCGTCGTTCCATCGAGTCCGAATCGTACGAACGAGTAGGACTCGAGGACGCAAAGGGCACGAAGGACGCGAAGTATCCCGCCGAACCTCGATCGAAAATCGCATTTCGGGAGGGAAAGAGAGAGCGGAAGGTCTCTCGTGCCCGGTCGTCGTGCTTCGTTCTCGTGCCTCGCCGTCGTCCCTCGTCGTCGTGCTCCGTTCCGTCACTCCGAGGCAGATGCTCTCTCGTTCCGTCCCGAACCTCGCTCGTTCGACGGACGGACTCGGCCTCGGTCCGCGACCGAAGCGTCGCCGATCGCATCCGGAACGGACGACGAGGCGCGTCGCCGACGGACGGTTTCTCGCGGCGAAACCGGAGAGCGCGTTTCGGACTCGAGGCACGTCGGAGAAGATGGACGTCGCGAAGAGCGGACGCCGACCTCGCCTTCCGTTCTTCGCGATGGACCCCGAGAGAGAGCGAGAATCGTTCGAGAACGGCGCCGTCCCGAGAAATCGCACGGGATCCCGAGTTCCGAGGTCGCGTTCGTGCGAAGTCGCGACGGTCTCCCGGGTTCCACGGGGTTCCCGCCGTGCCGGCCGTGCCCGCTTCGCCGGCTCCAGCCGGTCCCGACGAGTCGGAAGCGCGATCGGACGTGACGGCGCATTTTAAACAGAGGGGGATCTTTTCGTTCGCGGAGTGGCGTCCTTGAACGGAACGGAGGTGCGGATCCGGCAACACTGACGGATGGAGATAAGGTGAAGAGAATCCCATCCCCATCCAGGTCCCATCGTCGTCGCTTCCCACCGTTCATTCGGGTTTCCGTCGGTCTCCGTGGGTGTGTGGTGCGATCGCGAGGTGCGGACGAGGTGAAATCGCGATCGCGACCCGAGGGTTCCGCCGAGCGACGAGAGGCGGTCCCGCGTTCCGTCGCCGATCCCACCGGTCGGCGAAGGAGAAGAGAACGCGCGACTCGACGGAACGGAATTCGCGAGCGCGAACGATTCCTTTGCGGCTCTTCCCTTCGCGAAGGGAGCGTGGAGGCGGCGCGAACCCGTCTCTCGTGACGACGGCGCGCATCCGTCTCTCGCGGAGACGTCGTGGATTCGTCTCTCGTGACGACGGCGCGTATCCGTCTCTCGTGATGTCGGCGAGGACGAGCGAGATTTCCGTCTCCCTCGGCGATCGGAGTCGGTCGCACGGACGACGATGCGAATACGCGAGGGTAAACGAGATATCCCCCGGCGAGTCGTCTCTCACCCCGACGAATGGGACGAGTGAGGCCAAGGGGAGCCGAGGGGGGCCGAGGGGGCCGAGGGAGGTCGAGTGGGACCGAGCGGCGTTATCTTCCGTCACGGAATTCCTCGAAGAGCGAGAGACCGTGATATCTCGAGGGTACTCGGGAGTACTCTCTGCTTTCGTCGCGGACGGATACCGATCCTTCGCCGGCCGGCTTCTCTGCCCGATGGCGGATCCCGTGGGATTCGAACGAGACGCCGAAAGAGACTCTCGTCCACTCGTGAGGCCCGAGACGGGGATCCTCCGCGTGCACGTGCCCGCTCCGTGAGCTCGGCGGCACGCCGGCGAATCGTCGCGACGCGCGCTCCATCGGACGGAAGCGCGTGTCGCACGTACGCCTCGCGAGAACGCTCGACCGGCGTGCGGCGGATTCACGAAGGGTCGCTTTTCGTGCCGATGCCCCGCGAAAAGACGAGAGCCGTCCGGAGCGACGAGACCGTTCGAAGGATGACCGGCGCCTCCGTTCTCTCTGCATCCAGGTCCGTCCCGGCGAGGGAACGAGATGAAGGATGTGGGAGAAGGAAGACGGGACTGAAGGGGAGTCGGGAACGGGGTCGGAGGGCCGACGAGACGAGAGGGAAAACCCCATCCGTGACGAACGACGAGAGGAAGAAGAGAGTGCAGTCGAACGCGAAGAGATACGAGCGAGTGTGGAGGACGACGAAGAGGAGAGAGAGAGGAGTGCGGACGACGAAGAGAGTGCAGTCCACGAGACCGAGGACGACGAGGAGATCGCGGACGGCGAAGAGAAACGAGCGAGGACGGGGGACGAAGGAAGAGAAGCGAAGGCAGCGGAGGAGAGAAGAGAAGCGAAGGCAGCGGACGAGCGGAGAGAAGCGAAGAGGGAATCGGAAATCGGCACTCGGAGGAAACCCGATCTGGTAAACGCCACGTCTCGTCTTCCTTCTTGCGAGATTCGCATTCGGGTGCGTGCATGGGGTGTGGAAGGCCTCCGTCCGAAGGTCTCTGTCTATCGTCAGCCGGAGACGGATCGCAGCATCCCCCTTCCTTCGTCGCACCGCGAGCGCTCGAAGACGAAGGACGAAAGAAAAGGTGGATTTCCTCGTACGCTCGCACCTCGCTCCTCGGTGCGACGTCGATGCGGCCTCTTTCCCGTGGCTTCTCGACGCCGGCCGTCGCGAGAGAGCGAGAGAGCTCTCGCTTCTCGTGCGAATGCGACGACACCGGAAGATCGCGGATCGTCGCCGGAAGCTTCCGGACGGTTTCCGCTTCGAAGGGGGTGCCGACCGTCGCGAGACGCCCTGCGTTCGCGCGATCTGCGGTGACCGCGCCGTCGCCGATCCGGGTTCGGATTACGGAAAGGCGATACGGGGAAAGGGGGGGAGGGTGGGGGACGGGACGGGGGCGACGAGGGACGTCCGCGGATGAACGTAATTCGAGCTCCGTTCACCGCTTCTCGTTTCTTTCTTCGGAACGGATGCAGCGAGAGAGACTCCGGCTCGTCTCTTTCGTCCTCGGTGAAACCCGACGCCTCTCTCTCGGAGGGAACCGAGGGGGTGTCCGAGTTCCTCTTTCGCATCGGTCGGAGAAAAGACGCTCTCTGCGAAGGGCAGCCGTTCCCGACCTCCACGCACTCGTACGGGGAAGAGCGGAAGGGAGGACGGAGTTTGGAGGGGGAAAAGGCCGGAGGAGATCGTGCAAAAGGC